CTCATCGAAATTTTTCTTCGTTTAAAATTTTTGTCTGACCTTTTGGATTGCTTAACATATATCGGCAACCATTATCTTTTCATCAATCAAGGTCATCTTTTTTTGTGTTAAACCATCTTTTCAGCAGACATCTGTGTCTTCAATCAAGGAGAAAGTCTCAGATAAGACATTGGCATTGTTTTTTCTCAGATACAATAGTGGCCAAAGAGTTTCATATACCAAAATGCCTGTCTTTTTTCTTTGACGCTCGTGAAGTAGCTCCGGAGATGGAATTAAAAAAAAACTCACCAAGCCTTTTTTTTGATAACTAAACTTCTCAATTGATTTTAAAACTAGAACCCACTGATGTAAAAAGGTTCAATGCTTACCAGGATAAATTCGAATCGCAATGGTTGAGTTTCATTCCGCGTAAAATCCTAAGATTAAAATTGTCAAATCAGTAGCTTAGAAGTGCAATTGACTCTGCCTAGGTTCAAAAATTCGTGAAAAACATAGATTCGTTTGCGGAAAAGATGTAACTGAAGATGGATGGCAGGGCCTATCTTGTCTGAAACGTGCAGAGAGCTTCTCTAGGCACTCCAGTTCAATTGCCCTTATAGACCAAAGTACTCTTCCGCTCATATTCCTTCTGTTTTAGAGCTACGACACCTCCACAGAACAGAGCAGAAGCGACGAGACCGCTTAACGCTCGTCCCATGGCATGTTGCTAGGCAGCTCCTGTGGAATGTAACGGTAGTTGACTCCCTAGCCCCTAGTAGAATGAGCACAGGGTTGGTTTCTCATCCCGGAGTGGCGGCAGCCGAGGCGGAAGATCGCAACTCTACCAAATATAGAGATTTAATTAATGATGGATATATTTTTCAGCCAATGAGCACGTGTACCGAAGAACCCAGGGCAGATAATTTTCTTACGCAGAGAATCTCCCTCGCAATACAAATTGCGAAAGCTGCCTGTGTACGCGGCACTTTTCATGTTAAAAACTAATTTCGAAGAGTTTTATTTATAGCCTAAGCAACAAAAGTTCAGCTTAGTGTAAGTGTCTGATAGACCTGTAGCCTCACATCAGATTAATTGTTTGAGCTTTTTTCAATTTCGTTTTTTTTCTGTGCAAGTGTTAGCGTTCTCACTCTGTTTGTTGTTTTTTGGCTAAGTTTATGCATTATATCACTTGAATGAGCTATATCGGCGGAAGCTTGAGGTAAATACCGTGGTTTTTGTATTTTTTTTCCAAAGCTCACATTATAATATGGCTTATGGTTGCGTTTTCTTGAATTTTAGTTTTTTCTTTTTTTGCCACTGTTGCAAAAATTGAGCTTGTCTCCCTCATCATATAAGACAAACATATAAATTACTTAATGAGCTAAATGGAAAATCTATATCTCGTTTTAAAGTGCCCATTCTTAAATCATGCCAAAAACTAAATGATAATCCAACTGAAAAAGATGTAGCAAATAGATTCAATGATTTTTTCATCAACATTGGTGAAAACTTGGAAACAGATATTCCAAATGTATCTCCACCTCCAGTACCTTAATTAAATTGGTCAATGTTTCTATACAGTACAATGCCATCAGAAATCAACGATTTTATTTGTCAACTAGACAACAAATCAACATCCGGGGATCACTATATTAGCAATCAAATAGTGAAAGCATCTAAAAACGTTACTTCCCCATTCCTATCGTTTCTAGTCAACCTTTCTTTTGAAAAAGGCATATTTCCTTCTGCTTTGCGTAAAGCAAAAGTAATTCCTGTTCATAAAGACAATTCCCGATTAGATGAAAATAATTACCGGCCAATCTCTTTACTTATTGTATGGAGCCAGGTATACGAAAGAACAATGTATAATCGAATCTACGCAAACATGAAAAATTCGCTTTGTTGTATAGCAAGAAATTTAGGTTCAGATCAAAACATTGTACAATAGAAGCAGTTGTTGAGCTAACTGAAAAAATAAGACTTAAAAACTCGTTTAAGGAGGCTTATAGTTTTTTCCTTGATTTAAGAAAAGCTTTTGATACTCTCGATCATGAAATACTTCTGACGAAACTTGATGCATATGGCATTAGAGACAATTGCTTTAAATGGTTTAGGTCCTACCTCAACGATCGTCAACAACGAGTTGAAGTAAATGGTGTTTCTTCAGATTGGAAAAAAAATAAAATGCGGCGTCCCACAAGGATCGATTTTAGGACCGTTGCTTTTCCTTATATACATTAATGATTTGCCCGTGACATGTAAAACAGCAGAAGTAATCTTATTCGCAGATGACACCAACATAACTGCTATAGGCTGCCAGATTATAGATATTAAAGATGATCTTCGTCATCTTGACCATTGGTTACATGGAAATAAGCTAATTATAAATAATGATAAGACAATACAAATGAGCATAAAAAGTGCTTCCAATTCAAAACTCACACTTAATTGCTCAGAGGTGATTAATAAACCTGTTTGTAATTATCTAGGTTTATATATTGACTATAAATAATCATTTCGAAGTCATATCTGTTAGGTGAAAATGAGACTCGGAAAACAATGCGGGATTTTATCGAAACTGACATTATGCGCCACGAAACCAATTGCTTGAATACTATAGAAGTAATGTGGTTCCTATCATTCAATACGGAATTCTGATATACGGTTGTTGTAGTTACAGTTCGCTTGAATGTTTATTTCTACTGCAAAAGAAAATTCTTAAATTCATCTATTTTCGAAAGCGTAGCGATAGTTCTCGTGATATTTTTCTAGAGAATAAATTCTTATCGGTGTTTGAAATTCATGTTTACGAACTACTCAAGTTCGTGCTTCGTGCTGTCACAAAGTCTCTCTCTCAAAGTTTTTTAAGCAATCTGTTCTCCTTTGAAAAGAAAAAAAGGGCCACGAGACTGTCGAAAACAAAACTATTAGCTGAACCCATATGTAAGGAAAAAATCGATCGGTTTTCCGTTCGATATCGCGCTACCAAGCTTTTCAGCCTTCTCTCAGCGCAAAAGTTGATCCCCGAGGATGTTAAAAGATATTCGAAAACAGAATTAGTAACATTTTGTCAAACATTTAAAACTGTATTTTTAGTGCAAAATGAAGAGTTAATCGATTACATATTCAAATTATAAAAAAAATTTTTTATTGAACCCGTGGTTACATGCTGACGGGGGTGTATTTTAGAGTTGAGGTTCTAACGCTAAAATTTGACCTTCCAGAATCTCTTTGCTTAAGAGATATGGACGATTTTACGATTTTAAAAAATATATATTCAAAAACTTAGAAAAAAAATCGATTTCGATTACATTTTCAAATTATAAGAAGAAAATGTATTGAACCCGTAGTTGCATGCTAATGATGTGTATCCTAAGGTTGAGGTTCTAACGCTAAAAGTTGACCTTACAGAAACTCTTAGCTTAGGAGATATGGACGAGATACTGTCGAAAACAAAACTATTAGCTGAACCCATATGTAAGGAAAAAATCGATCGGTTTTCCGTTCGATATCGTGCTACCAAGCTTTTCAACCTTCTCTCAGCGCAAAAGTTGATCCCCGAGGATGTTGAAAGATATTCGAAAACAGAATTACTAACATTTTGTCAAACATTTAAAACTGTATTTTTAGTGCAAAATGAAGAGTTAATCGATTACATATTCAAATTATAAAATTTTTTTTTATTGAACCCGTGGTTACATGCTGACGGGGCTGTATTTTAGGGTTGAGGTTCTAACGCTAAAATTTGACCTTCCAGAATCTCTTTGCTTAAGAGATATGGACGATTTTACGATTTTAAAAAATATATATTCAAAAACTTAGAAAAAAAAATCGATTTCGATTACATTTTCAAATTATCAGAAGAAAAAGTATTGAACCCGTAGTTGCATGCTAATGATGTGTATCCTAGGGTTGAGGTTCTAACGCTAAAAGTTGACCTTACAGAAACTCTTAGCTTAGGAGATATGGACGATTTTACGATTTAAAAAAAAATTCAAAAAAAAAAATCTAATTTTAAATTTTTGTTTTACTTTTCTCTTTTACCGGCGGTTGGCTGCTTACGTAGGCCTAATATAGGCTTCTGATTAGAATGACAATATTTGACCGTCCAAATGCTCGTAGCTTAGGAGATATGGACGATTTTACGATTTTGAAAAAAAAGTTCAAAAATCTAAATTTGAATTAGTTTTTTTTTCTTTTTTACCGACATTGCCTGCTAGCGAAGGTATAATATAGGCTCCGGATTAAAATGACAATACTTGACTGTCCAAATGCTCGTAGCTTAGGAGATATGGATGAAATTACAAATTTTCAACAAATTCTAAAAACATTAAAAAAAAATCTTTTACTGATTGTGAAAGATGTATGCATAGCTAGGGGAGGCGTTTGTGGGCCATATGGCCCCGTTGTCTATCCTCTCCGAGTCTCATTTTAATAATTACTTATAACGATGAATTGCCAAATTTATGTAATGAATGACCGGAGAAAATTTTTCTTCTTTCTTTCTTTATCAGTTGGGATTGAAAACTAACTTTTTCTGTTCACTAGAAAACTTGACGAAAGAATTACTGAAGACTGATATTCTATATGAGATCCTTTGATTAGGTAAGTTTTCAAGTTCTTAGTTGAGGGTTTCGTTATATTTCTGCAGTTGCTTACGTTCAAAATTCAGTTTCGAAGGAAGAATTCGAAAAATGACCAGAGATTATAGACCGAACAGTCATAAAAAATCGAACGTTTTTTTTTCGCTATTTTTTGCAGCAACGAATGAGGTGTTATATGTTAGCCCAGTAACTCTGTCTAATTTTAATTTTTAAGGTTTAGGATGTGATTAAAACAAAGAGGCTAGCAGATTTAAATAAGTTTCCCTTGTTCTTCTGAGATCTTAATTGAACCATATTTTAATTTTTTTAAATAGAGTTAATTACAACCTGAAATAAATGTTTTGCTTCCTTGCTCAATTTTTAGTTGCAGCTAGCTGATACGCACATTAGAAATAATACATGTCTGATAAAATTTTCAGGTATCATGAAACTGAAGAGGTCTAAATGACAGTTAACATCCTCGTTTGAACTATGTACGGCGAGACACTTGCTATCGAAGACTGCTACGTAAGATGATTTTTGAATGGTTTCGTTCCTATCAACCTGATATATTTAATCTTCTTGTGTTGAATTTGACCGGCAGCCAGTCAGTACTTTTTAGCTGACCCAAACAGTGGATTGTTGGATAACTTTATTTTTCTGGGAGAGTAAAGGACACTTATAAGAGTAGGAGCACGGAGCCACACGTGGAATCAAATTGTTGTCCAACCAAATATGCCCACTTACAGTGTTCCCCACTCCACCATTCCTCTTCTCCCTCTAAGTGATAAAGATGTCCAACAATCATATACCGGCAACAATCATATACTGACGACCCATGTGCGGTCAGATTTTTAATCGTCAAATGATCTAAATGTGTATCATCAATCACAACGAACTGCTGTGGGATCCGAGAAAGCGAATTGAACTGATAAAGGGCAATAATTTTTCAACCGCAACTCCCAAATTTATGCCAATCGTGGCGACATCTAGTGGGCTATGCTAGGCCCTCACACAAGAAATAGTTTGAGCTGGGTAAATAATTCAAGCTGAAACTAATTATAGCTAATGCCAAATTGTTGGCAGTATCGGTTACATGAGAAGTTTAATAGGTCAAAACCTCTAGAATTTTATGTTAATTAGTTTTTGAGCACGGTATTTAAACTGAAATCCAACGTCGAAATGAGCAGTTGTAGGTTAATTAACTTCATTCAGATTCGTTGGCCGATAAAAAATATTGCCAGTTTGGCATTAACTATAAAACAGTTTTTTGAAATTGAATGTCATTTTATAAAACACTTTTTTGTCCCTTTTTTCATGTTTTTTGAAGTTTGATAAACTGCATGGCAGATCATTGTTGAATAGAAATTATTTGAAGGTATTTATTCAACAAAATATGTCTCTGAAAAAGCGCAGCTTTGCTTTGCTCTTTTGACAGTTCGAATGCAATTTTAGAGTTTCGGGTAAAATTTCAGTGCGTTTTCTCTGTTTCAAGGTCAGAATGATATCAGATTTTTGAGACGTTGTCCAATATTTTTGGTAAAACCATAGCAGTAATTAAATATTTCGAGTTCGCTAAAAAGGAACGTGAACCAGAATGATGCAATGTAATTACAAATTCCCAAGGTCAGAATTGTTTCAGAGAAGGCATCCTCAAATGTGCAGTGTTGTCAACACACAGTTCTGGGATGCCATATGTTTTTGAAACAATTCAGAGCTTGCATAATTCTACTTGATGGTTTTTTTTGTTGCAATGACAGTTTTAAAAAGATCCGCCGGTTGCTCTTTGCTGTACATGTTTGTAGAAAAATATCACAGCCTGTTCTTACGAAGGTCCTTATTTGAATAAGAAAATAACGAGAGTTTTTCAACGTTTGTATCGAATTTTTCAAATTAAAACGTCTTTTTTATCTTTCATATGGAGATGACAAATCTGCAGATGTTAGTATGCTTTTTCAACATGTTGATTCACCTATGTATGTTAACAAGCCAAAAATCTTTTGCTTTTGAAAGGAAGACTCTTCACTTACATTTAGTCGAAGTAACAAAAAGCTCAGAGCAGATATTCAGGCCATAGCATGTTAGGGGAGCGGTGGTGAAGTGGTTACGTCTCCGCCTCTCAATCGAAAGGTCGGATGTTCGAGGCCCACCATGATCCGTGCTCGTTGCTTGAGGGTGAAGCAATATTACCCAGCCCAGAAAAATAACCAAATAAAATTGCGTGTTGTTCTTAAAACAGGGGCACAACAGCGGTTCACCGTGATGAGCTGTACAGCTCTTGTGTTGGTGTTTTCTTTTCTCTTTTGAGTTTTCTTCGAGGTAGTCAAAATTGGTTTAAAATTTCTACCCCACGCCTGAGAATTTTTTTGGGACAGGTCGAGCCAAAATCAAAAACTTCAATTGCGACAATCAAGGATCGAGACGTCGATTTTTTTCCCTTTCGACAAACAAGGGTGTTGCAGCCGGGTACTAGACTTCTTAACCGTAAACAACTTCAAAGAACTTGCGCGTGAGAATTTTATACGTGAGTTAATTGCTTATTATAAATTTAAATTCAAGGCGATTTCTGCGCACTTGGCACAGCGGTAAAACCGTAACTTGAAAAGACAAAGACTTAGAGTTCGAGGTCGATTCCTATCGTCTGTCTGCTTTTTTTTGTCGGCCAAGTCCCCACAGAAAGGGATTCTTTGAATAAAGGTTTGGCTTATTTCTGGCATTACGAAATATCCATGTAAAGTTTCCAAAGGTGCAGTAATTTTATCCAGGATTTTTGGCGTTTTTTATGCAATTTTTTATAATTTTTGTTTGACGAAAACGGAATTTTGAAGTATTTTTTTCCTTTCTTATTTGTCCATTCGTTTGTTTTTAAGCATAGTCATTCATTTTTGTATCGCAAGTATTGCGAAGGTCAGCTTCGCCTCTGTGTTAGTAAATTAGCAAGGTTTTGGCTAATTGGGGCTGCTTTTTAATTTTTTTTACAGGTATAGGGAAGTAATTTTGCGCTAATGCATGTGTCCATCACCCAGAATTATAATTTTTGTTTGAACTAAAAACTCTCCTAAAAAAACGTGTTTCATGTTATGGCGTGTTCACAATTGAACAACTAAACTTTATCGCAGAGCAACGAAAATCAGAGTTTTCTGTCCTCCTCGATTTTTTGCTGCTCGAGGGTGTGAACAATTTTTTTTGAGGATATCTCAAGAAACAACCGAATCGTCATTCAGGAAAAACAATCGAATCGTCATCAAGGAAACCCCACATCCGTATTAAAGAAACTTATTTTTTTCTGAAATTGTAAGTTGAACTGAAATAAAACACAAAAGGTTTGGTGCTCACTTTGTACCATCGTTTTCCTGAGATCAACGCATCAATGAATGATTAAGAAAAACTCTCACTAAGTTTAATTTTCTGCTACGGTCATCGCTGGAATCCGGTTTTTTCTGAAAATGTTATCGACAGAATCCGTTACCTAATGAGTATCAGCACTTGGCTCATTTTACCTCCGCCTTAGAAAATGTTGTAAAATATAGGGCCGACATTGTTTCATAGTCTGAACAAGATGAACGCAAAAATGCAAAATTTGAAGATCAGAAGCAGTGAAAGAGAAAGAATAAGAAAGAGATCATAAAACGAAACAAAAAGCCAGGCGATGAATGGCGGAAGATCATGAAAATCTCTTGATTTTCCAATTGTGCCACTGACTGGTGCCACCGATCAATCAGTACTATGCTAATTTCCTCGTTTTTCCAAATGTATCCTCAGGTGCCATCGGTTAAGATAATAACATTTGAAATAATTGAAGTCTGTGTTACAGTGGTTACTGTCCAAATAAGAAGTCAGAGCAAAATTTGAGTTGAGGGTTTAATAGGAAATCACCAAGATTCAGCCCGGGGATTTATTCAATAAGTTAAAACTGCTAATGAAAGCAAAATCTTGAAATGATTTTTGTAAACTAGGAAAACTAAGTCGCGATACTACGGGTTAAAGCCAAATTGTTTGCTATTTATTAGTACTTAGTGTTCGATGAATCCCTGCACGTTGTTTTTCACAGCATTCAAAATTGCCGACAAATGAAGCAATCGCGAAACTTCTAAACCATTTTTGACCAAAATCTTGTTGGCGTTATGTAAAAATTTTGGCATTGCTTTTTGCAGAACTGCTTTATGGATGCCCGTGTTGCGTGCTTACCAGTCCTGAGAAACCATTTTTTGCAAAATGATTGGTATTTATTGTTTTGTGGTAAAGAAACGCATCAATAATGCATCCCTTCGATGCTACTAGGCATGAGATCAAAATTTTTGTTGTTCAACTACTTAATGAGCGTGGATGAACATGTAATATTATGTTGATTACCCCCCTGTTTTTCACTAGAGTGATCTGGATGAAAATGAGGATGGATCACATGGACAGAATGGGGAGGCAACCGAGAAGAAGTGGGCCCAGCTCATCCCCCTCAACCCCCTTCTCACCAAAACAGGTGGGATTAAAATGAGTAGAGCAAAAGCTTGCATCTAAATAGTACTCGTAAAGTTAGACATCTCACAAAAGTTTGAAAAGTTGCGTACTTGCGCTTAAATTTGTCACGAGTGGTATAGTTTTATTCACTGTTATTCTAGATTGTTGTGTCGACCACTTCACGGTTTGTTTGTTAAAGTAAGAGTCGAGTACAAATGGTTTAGCCTATTTGATCTGATAAACTTATTAATTAGTTTCAGAAAAGTAAAATGGAATACTCACAAACCAATACTGCTGATATTACAGATATGAAACTAAAGAATTTACAAATACCTCCAAAATTCTTTATTGTTTAAAAAAGTCAAATAGCGGCGAGATACTTAATTTTCCTCGATTGGAATTTATCTATGCATTAACATACCAAACCTAACATTTGATCAACTTCTTATCACAGCGAGTTTTTGCATGCGTAATTATCATGTCTCGGAATTCGAAATTCACACTATTCTTTCTTAGCTGCAAAATAAATCTTCCTCTGGTGTTGATGGAATAAATAACCTCGTTGTTAAAGCAAGCGCGTTTGCGATTGTTACTGTTTTGAAACATCTGGCTGAATCTGTGTTCGAAAATTAGATATATATGGCGTAATTATCAGTGTTAGGAATTGGCAGAGGTCAAAGTGTAACGCTTCTCAAGGTTCTATTTTAGGCTCACTTTTGTTTCTGATATACATAAAGGACCTTCCAAATGTCTGCTTTTTAAGTGAACGTTCTTGTTTGCAGACGACATCAGTATACTTAGTTTAAACTGCTCCGTCGAAAACTCCAATAAAGACTTAGAAGCTGTCAGCAAATGGTTAATAATTAATAAATTGTCCCTGAGTTTGGAAAAAACTATTTAAGTTAGTTTATCTTTGTGTAGTGTTTGCAATCATCAATTTCATATTAATAACATGCCCTTAAAACGTGCTTCATCTTGCAAATATCTTGATATTCATTTGGATACCAAGTTATCCATTAATTTTCGTATTGATTTCGATCGAGCCAAGCTTAGAAAACAATGTGGCATCCTCCGAAAGTATGTCATTATGTTCATAAGACTGTTTTACTCAAATACTATAGCTCTAACATTAAACCAATTTGCAATACGCTTTTCTAGTTTTCTAGTATACGGTTGTACTATTTAGACAAATCTTTTGCCCCTGTTTATGATACGAAAGAAAAACACTTCGGTTAATTTACTTTAAAAGAAAATTTGAAAGCCTACGAAATGCCTTCCATGATGAAAAGATTCCGAACAGTTCGCCAGCTCCACGTAAATGAACTTTAAATATTCGCTGTGCGATCAGTCTCAGGGTTACATTCAGAAAGATTTTTAAATAAAATTTTCAAATTTGATGCGGTTTTGTACAATACTGGAAGGGCAACTTTAGTTTAATTAAAACACTTTGTCGGAAAGCAAAGTTCAACGAGTGTCACCTAGTTACTGGAGAACAAAGCTTTATAACTTACTTCGAGAAAATTCGCTTCTTACCACAAGTTTTGCTGGTTTTCTCAAGCCAATGTTTAACAGATTGCTCACCAAGTGCGCGATCTATTCATTTTAATCAATGAAGAACTGATCAATTTTTTTGTTTATGATTTGTATTTAAACTCAACTGTTATTTAAATAGAACAAATCAGACGCGTAAGTCTGCTGCCAAATTTTTTACAATTTTGATGTGGGTTTTCAAATCGCTTTCGGCGTTTGAAAGCTCCTACTTGGACTTCTTCACTGGTTACTACCGCATCGGCTCAGTTAGGTGTCTACTGACTCTCAAGGTACCATTCAATGATTTTGATGCTAAGGGATTTAGGGGAGGAAACATTGTTAGTTGAATCAGTAATCGCTATGTGAACAAGTTTAATTTTTTGTAATGAAACCGATTAAAGGTGCCAGCGACTAATGAGTTTTCAAATATTTTCTGCAAAAGAAGTCGTTTTGATACATCGTAACTTCGTTTTTTATACTTCAGTTAAGCTAATGTCATTCAAATTGAATAATCTTTTGTTCAGTAGATGTACAACTTGTTGAGATGGTGCCCCATACTATTTTATGTATTTTTAGGGCATTTGCAAGATCTTTTTCTTGAGCGGTTGCATTTAAGTAATCTTATCTGATACATCTAATTTGTTTTCAAACCAGGGCAGCATTTGGCAACCCTTATATGAATTTGTTAGCTGTCCGCTCTTCGTTACTGATGTATTTAGAGTTAATTCGTCTGATTTAAAAAATAATAACATCGAGAATTTAATTCTTCCTCTTTATGTGGCCGAGAGAGGGTCGAAGCGATGTTCGAAACTGACTCGAGATTATTTTTCTTTGTTTCATATCAAAATCTTAACAAAATGATATCGGCTTACGTGCCATTCGAGCGGAATGATTGATGTTTCGGAACATCCGGTTTGTCCGGAAAGATGTTTAAGGACATTAAATGACGCAATGGATAAAAAGTAATGGCTAAGCAAGAGTTCATTTTCGCGCCAACTGATAAACCCAATCTTTTCTGAACCCAACACTTCATTTTCGCGCCAACTGATAAACCCAATCTTTTCTGAAAACACAGAAGGTTGAGCGGAAAAACGACAGAGATTTTGTGGAGAACTAGTGATCGAAGGAATTACGGGAATCTAAAGGGAAATAATGCAAATACGATTGTTACTTAGATTGTGCTCCACATCGGGAAGGTTGATATATTTTGTGATAACTTTTTGCGGTGGTGAAGAAGCTGCTACTTTGACGGAGATCTCAGATCTGGAATGACTTACCGTTAGACTGTATTGAGGACTGTATATTGACTGGTAGCTCGCTGTCCTGAATTTAATTTAACATCCTTAGTTATCTTTCAGGATTTGAGGAGCTAGGAATTAGGGAAGAGTTGATCCAGCTCCAATAACTATAGAATTTCTCTGCTAAACACAAACAATTAAAGAATGCGGTATCAGCCCTTTTTTTAGGAGCGGCCTGATGGTATGTGGATGCTGAGATCCAGCTATGCGTTCTTCATTTTTGCATGAAACTAGTTAACTTCAATCGTTCGGCCACTACTCTTCAAATAGTAACAAGTTAGTCGACCCGATTCACGAAGGAACACATTGAATGGCTTTGAAAGAGACGGTTCAAATTGTATAAAAGCTCATTTTGACTCTAAACTATCGACATTGGATAAGGTTTAATTTCCAGTCGTTCTGCACTTTCCGGACAAATGTTGTTTTATTGGATATAATGCAATTTTTAAATTGTTCAATTGCAACCTGTGGGGTTGTGCTAAACTCTTTTCCTCTCTACCTCAGTGATTTGATTTGAATCCCGAGCTATCCACAAAATCATGCAAGTTTGCAGATTTTTAGCTAATGTTTTACCGATCTCTTATTTCGGACAAAAATAGCAGGGGCTTTTTTTGTGCTACCCATCGGGTAGTCGGAGATATTTTGTGATAACTTTTCCCAGCGGTGATGGAGATCCCAGGTCTGGAATAGCTTACAGTTGGACTGTATTTTGAATTGTTTGAGTTTTAGCTTTTTGTCCTGAATTTTATTCATCTTGTTGAGTTATTTTTCAGGTTATGAGGAGCTAGGAGTTAGGAAAAGTTCCATCTCCAATGGATGTGGAATTTTTCTACTTAATAAAAACTTATAAAAAGAGAGGTCTTAGCCCCATTTTCAGGAATCACCTTTTGGTATATGGAAGCCTTGCGTTCACAACTTTGCATTTAACTACTTAACTTCGTTCAGCGCTTGAAAACACATAAGAGCTATTTTTGATGCTACCCAATCGTTATAGAATTATGTTTTTCCGTCGTTTTGTACTTTCCGGGCGAATGTTGTGTGAGTGGAATATAATACAATTTTGGAACTGTTCAATCTCTACCGGCGTGTTTTTTGTAATTCATTTTTTTCTCTGCCTGAGTAATTTTATTTGAATACCGAGCTATCTACAAATTCATCCAAGTTTCTGGACTTCAGCAAACGCTATTTGTTTGGTATTTATTGTTTTGTGGTAAAGAAACGCATCAATAATGCAGTGATCTGGATGAAAATGAGGATGGATCACATGGACAGAATGGGGAGGCAACCGAGAAGAAGTGGGCCCAGCTCATCCCCCTCAACCCCCTTCTCGTCAAAACAGGTGGAATTAAAATGAGTAGAGCAAAAGCTTGCATCTAAATAGTTCTCGTAAAGTTAGACATCTGATAAAAGTTTGAAAAGTTGCGTACTTGCGCTTAAATTTGTCACGAGTGGTATAGTTTTATTCAGTGTTATTCTAGATTGTTGTGTCGACCACTTTACGGTTTGTTTGTTAAAGTAAGAGTCGAGTAAAAATGGTTTAGTCTTTTCGATCTGATAAACTTATTAATTAGTTTCAGAAAAGTAAAATGGAATACTCACAAACCAAAACTGCTGATATTACAGATGTACCAGAGGAATGCGATAATCAAGATGATAGCAATTATGTTCCACAACTCAGATATCAAGACCAAACACCTATTCTAAAATCTTCCCCAAAACGAAGTTGTGCCTCACTGATCCTGATTTGGCAGCAATATCTGAATCAAGCTTCAATATCAATGAGGTCATGGAGTCCAGTATTGAAAAGTTCTCAAGAAGCAAATCTCAAAATGCGTTGCGAAATTGGAAGTAACATTGGGTGCTTTTTCAAATCCTTGATAAATCAGGGCCTGAACGATGTCAACGAATCAGTTTTAAAGGAGACAAAAAACAATAGAGCTCGGGCTAGAAAAGGTAACTTAAAAGCGGTGTCAGAAGCCGATCTTGAAGATTACGGCAAAAGCTTTGAGAAAGGTCTGAATGTCACTAGAGGAACTGGAGCTGAAATTGAAAGACATATCTCTATTGCCCATTGGTTATCTGGTCGAAATACGAGCTCACGACCGAATCATAGTGCGCTTCTCTAGACGATTAGCCAAAGTAGAACTTCTCAAGAAACAAGACTCACAGGTGGAATCAGCTTGGGCACGAGAGG